TGAAAAATGACAGAAAAAAGTGATAATGAAAACTAATAATAAAGGGTGACAGTGATAGGTGACAGTGAAGTTTCTTGAGAGTTTTTTCAGAGTTTCTATTATTTATGAGAACAGTAGGGATCGGTGGATTGGCCTAGTGACAGAGATGCATTTTCATCGTGATTATTTGCGGTTCAATGGGTGAGTTACATTTAAATTTATTAATTATTCAATTCAAATTTTTATTTGTTGAATAGAAAAGTTATTTAATTTTTTAAAAATGAGAATTTGTTCTTTTTCATCATCACAATATCGAACGAAAATAATTTTCCATATTTTATCTGTTATTTCTTTGCCATAACGAATAAACGTATCAAATAAATTCGATTTACTTTGATTACGTGAGTAGAGACTAATTTTGTTATTTCTTATTCATGAATGAATGATAATTCAACAATAATCAAGATTTTTTTATTCATTATTCAATGTAACTTTCATTTAACAGCTTTCTATTATACCGACGTTATTCCGACGTTATACCGACGTTATACCGACAGTATCGATACATTTGTTCACGACGACGATCGGCCGTCATATTCGAAGCTTTTGCTCACGCTTTCGCGCACCCGGTCTATGCGCGCTCTCATTGGTCAGTGTTTTTTGCTAATAACTCGAAAATGGAGCCTCAACCAATATTTTGGCAAAGGAAAAAGTTGTTCAGAATCGCCCCACCTACCACCCCTTTTCGGGTCCTACACTAATTGCGGGACACCCTGTATATGTATACATATGTATGCATACGTATGCATATGAAACAAGCAATCGTACACAACAATTTAACAAAATTACACCACAGTTGTACAATTAATTTTATTAATATAAACTACAAAATATAGTTACATATATTGTATAAATATATTCAGGAAACATAACCTATAAAAGACTCGGTGTCACGTGGACAAAACCGAAGAACCCGAGCTTGGAGTAAAGTTACGAGAAAATCGGTAGAAATAAATTTGTCACAAGGAAAATACGTGAATCGAAGGTTTATCGATACCCGACGATCTAAAATGGTCAGAGTTTTAATGGCTTGTAACGTTACAAAACGTTGCGAGGCATCGATCTCTCTTCCGCTCGACATGCAGATGCGAAAGGTCGATACGCAACGATCGAAGCTGGTATCGGCACGATATCCGTTATCGGCTGCTGCCAGCTACTTCAAAAGCTTATGTCTTGCCAGTAGACATCGCATGGTTGTTCGTGTCACGCTAACACGTCGTTCCCAAAATTACATTTCTGGCATGCGTGTCTTCGAAAGGAATTTCCGGCGCCGTGAACTCTTTCGCGATCAAAAGCTCGAACGACGCTTTCGAGGGAAAACGATCTCTCGTGACGGCCATTCAACGTTTATTGTGTCGTGCCGGAAATAACGTGACGGAATTTCCGGAAGAATGGAACTAATTTAAGAACTTGACTGCATTACCGTGGTCACGGCTGCACTGCCGTTTTTTGATACGGAAAATCATTTGATTTAGAATTGAGATTACAACAATTTTAATTCTAATGCAAGGTGGGTTTCTGGAGGGTGTGGGTTAATATAGAAGAAGTTATCTGGTTTCGATTTTGGGAAATGTGAACTTTTTTAATTTTAATATTCACAAATTTTTAGATAATTCAATTGAGATTACAATTTGTTAAATTTTTTAATTTTTTGAATTCCATCTTTTTAATCCTCAATTTTTCAATTACTAAATTTCCCACATTCTAAATTTCCAAGTACCTAAATTTCTATGCTTAAATTTTCCAATTCCTAAATTTCCAAACACCTAAATTATCCAACTTCTAAATTTTCCAACCCCTAAATTTCCAAATACCTAAATTTTCCAACTCCTAAATTTCCAAAAACCTAAATTATCCAACTTCTAAATTTTCCAACCCCTAAATTTCTAAATATCTAAATTTTCCAACCCCTAAATTTCCAAATATCTAAATTTTCCAACCGCCAAAAATTCTCACATCACCATTTACCCTTCTCTCAAATCATCTAAATACACATAAACTTATGAAATGATCCAGTACTCATATAACAAAGAAACAGTAGAAGAAATTATAAAAAATAAATCCACGTTTTTAGCTGCACAATAAACGTACTTACTCGAACGTTGATTCTTGATGAAGTACAGCTGAAGTCGTTCCTTGAACGTGTTTTCGTTCACGTAATACTCGACACGAACTCTGTAATCAGAAATAAAACACCATAGTTATTACTTGATGCTTAGCAGATCAAATGATTCCAATTATTGGAAAAAGTCTGATGTTCGCATTACTAGGATTGAAATGTTTTCAACAGCAATACATTCGGTGCTAGAATTGTGGAATTATTCTCATCAGCACCATTCTTGTAAATTCAAAATTTTATTAACAATAAATTTACTATTAAATATTTATTTGTGTTCAGATAAAAAATTGTACAATTTTTATTTTAAGAATTGTTCACTCTATAACTCTTGCAATAAAACAAAAGTCAACTTTGACGAGTTTAATCCCTTTAACCCCTTGTCGTACTTTAACGAATTTCGTGACGCACTCACTCCTCAAATATAACAAAATTTACTAAAATTTTTAATACACTTCAACCTAAAATTTAGGTCCAACTATAATTTTCATTATCAAATGAATGTTGAAGTGATCGAATGAATAAAGTTTTGACTGACGCATCTGACAAATAAATTTTACGGCAAGGGGTTGAACAACCCATCATATCGTACGCTTAATATAATTTTCAAGTCTGAAGATCCTAATTCCGCATTCATAACAGAAAACTAAAGATTGCGTAGCGTCATGAAAATTTCCTAAGTGCTCTCGCATCACCGATGCCGCTAAATCGATTCTATTATGGAATGCTATCGCGAGTAACCGCGAATCGGATTAATCGCTATTTTTATCGTCGGAAAAGACGTCGACTCCGGCAAAAATAGCATCGCGTGACGTCATCGGGTCAGCGTTGACAGACAGTCTGTCGTACGTGATCCTTTTACGTTGTTGAACTGGTTCTTTGACCCAGATAACATCACGAGACCAATGCTGGACATAGTCATTGAATGAAATACGTTTCTGATAGCAGAACCATTTTCGAAAGAATCCGCGAAAGGGATGCACGTCGCAATTCGATGAAAGATGGCGTGCGGAAAGTTTGTATCGCAGTTGGTGTACCGTCGTACCTGTTTGCACGTTGTACACACGGCAATCGTTATTGATCAGGTACATGATTCATGGTCATTTGACACGTTTTAGTTGCTTTCAGTTTGGTCGATGAGTTTTTTGTCGGTAGACGTAAATGTTGAGTGAATGAGGAACATGAAGAGTTTGTCTTTTATTGTTTAAGTGGACACTGGTTTTAATTAGAGTCAGGGTATGATAAGGGGTAGTTTTTATTCTCTTGTAAATGTATGTTAATATACCTCTACATAGATATGTAACAGATATGTGAAGAGATGTATGATAATAGATATACATGTATGTGTGTATGTTCTATATTCTCTATTTTCTGCTTACAAATGTCTGAACGTTCGAACAAATTTTTACATTTTTGCAATATCAAAATAACAATATACCCGAGTATTCATATTTCCATGCTTGTTCATATTGTGTCCATAAACAGCTCTAACCCATCACTACTTATGAAGTTTTTAGAAATTCCCAGAAACGAGCAACCATTCCTCCTCTCATTGCCATATTTTCCTATCATATCTTCCTAACTATCCCCAAACTATGAGTCAACCAGTTAACCCCGTTCATCATTTTCACTTCCCGATAAAATTCTCCTTATACTTGAATATCCCACTTCAGTCAAAAAGGCATTCGAAGGGTTAAGTAACGGGAACCTGACGAGCAAATAATTCACTGTCGCGTACGAGTATTCAATACCGACTGCAGGCAAACGTTTCTCATTATTCATACTTCACGTGAACGAAAAGAAACGAGCGATACAACCGACGAACGATTTATTCGTAGTTTCACGCCGTCAACGTTGAAACGTTATCTCCATCGCTCCTTATTCGTCGAGGGGCTGAAAAATCGCGACACCACCGGAGGCCCGATAAATCAACCTGGACGAGGTGAAAAATCCCGCGAACCAGGAATACGGCATCGATTCCAAAGAACGGATACACGGATCGATCACGGATCCGTTGACACGCATTAAATCGACTTCTCGGCCGATATTACTCATGACTGACTAATCGAGTTTCGTCCGTATGCTCGATGCACTGTGCAAACTGACGGAAACTTTTGGCGCAAACGCGCGTTCACATTCGTGCATTTTTTCCTTTACAAAATGGCTGTTCATGCGTTTCTATATTTTAATGCATTTTATTATGCGGATTGGTACTTGCATAAATTCATTTACAGGTTTTATTTGAGTGTAGGGATGAATAATAGTTTGAAATTAAAAATGGAAGGATAAAATATAATTGAATATTATATGTTAATTTTTTGTCTTCAGAGCAGCATAGACTTCAAGGGAAGCATCTCAACAAATTTCACCCTCTTGGTCTCATGATTGGAATTTTGTTCATGATTGCAAATATTACAAATTTGCAGTATTTTCATAAAACTCGACAAAGTGTATTACATTCATGGAAACTCAATACTCTGAAAAACGAGATATTTTTCAAAAATTAACCATTGAAGTTATTCGTACATATTTATCAAAGTACTAGAGTGATATTAGCGACAGAGTATAACAAAGAGTGAATGTACAAAAGGAGTAGCGATCAAACGCAACAAAACGTGAAAATCGATGCAATAAACAGTGGCACAAAGTTGAATTGAAATGGACGTGTATGAGTTTGCTACACTTCCGTTGTATGTGAATTATCGATGTAAATGATAATAGCGTCCGTACAACCGGAAATAGCACGCTGTGCATTAGCCATGGCAGGCTTATTTCACGATAATTAAGTAGAGAGTGGTCCCAAAGCGGCGTCTGTCCGTTGATATTTAATTAAAATACGACTACAGAATTTAGAGCGTTGACATTTCTGGTTTAATTGGAGAGTTCCGAACTGATTCGGAGCGCATCCGATAGGACCAATCTGTACGTACCGGTGAATTCGAATGCTTGATTCAATCACCGACTGTGATTTCTACCTTAAGTTCAAATATTCAGAACTTATATCTCGTTACTAGACTGCTGGCATTTATCGCAGAGCTCATGCAAAATATACCAAAATATTACAGCATAATATATTATAAAATACACTGCACCATCAAATGAAAATTATTAACACTAAACCTACCGGCACATAATGTGTATTTCATTTGAAATTAAAAATGAAGTTAAAAAATAAATAAACAAACGACGAAACATAAATTAGTACACACATTTATTCCTTATCTTGATGAAAATCAATTCTGATTTCAAGGAATGTATTTTAACAAAATGTGTGGCTTATAATAAGAAACTTGTGGAGCGGTCATTTGACCGGTACTTCGTAGTTTTAGTGTTAAACAGATTAAATAGATTTAATCAGATGTCTGAATCCATAAATAACCAGATCTATAGATAACCACATCGTCAGGTAATTAAATCTCTACATCCATAGATACCTATATATCTATAGATCCCTAAATCTCTACATTCCTAAATCCCTTTATCCCCAAATTTCCGTACCCCTCCTAATAAATATCCAAAAAGTATATCAAAACAATAGAACGAATAATCACAGCTAAATTTATCTCGTTTAATTATACAACAAACATTACTCATCGTAAATGGAGTTCCACTACTTCCGAAGTAACGAAAAGCAGTAATCGTACCTGTCCATCTTTATCAGCATCAGAACAATATCTAGCGAGATAATGCGTACATACGCCCATCATCCAGTTTGCCTTCGTCCGGCTCTATGGCTGGCCACATAATGGATTTTCTACTTCAGGAAGGAAATACTCGTCCGGCCGCAGAATTGCAGCTCGTTACTTGAACTCGAAATACCACTCGGAGCAATCTATATAAATTGAGGGGAATACTCTCCACCCTCGTACGCTCCTCTTCGTCTTCCGGTATTCCACCTCCGTTTTACCTTTGTGTCGCTACTTGCTTGTCTCTGTCATCTTCGGAGAGGAACATCCTCGCTTTGATTCATCTCGCGACATTTCGAGACGATTGCTCGAAAGGATACTTGAATTCAAATCCATCGATTTGTCGAGAACGTTTAAGGAAATTACATTTTTGTTACTTTAACTGAAGAAATTTTTTCTATTTTGTGGTTTTGTAATTTGTTCAAAAAATATTACATTTATAATTTCAATTTTCTGATGATTTTTTGTATGACTTCTAATTGCTCATTGTACATTAATATGTAAGAGTGATAATTATTAAGGAAATAATACTGAAATTAAAGTTTCTTATTCATCTTTATATAATTGCTACTCGATCCTTTTGAACTAGGTACGAATAATTTCAGAAAGAGTTTGATACTCTTATTGATACTCTTGAAAGAGTATCAAACTCTTTCTGAAAGAGTATAAAAACCCGAAGAGTTAAATGAAAATTATTTTTCAGTGTATAAATTCATCTCTACGTTCATCACATCGTTTCCAATTGAAAATCCGAATTTTCGTGCATCAAGTCGAGATCGCGCCCTGCATCAAAAGCTGTCATAACCAGACACTTTAGCTATCGTGTTGCCGTGACGAACTTTGATATTAAAGCAAGGAAATTACTGGGATTTACCAAAATTGGAACTTACCATACGCCATTAAATTTCGATCGTTTTGAAGGTAGCAATGAAAAATTACTCCATCGCATGACTTATGAAGTGAACCCACAATTTGTTACACTTTCATCTAGTTTGACATCGTAATGTATTTATTATGCATTATTCCTTTTATTGTTGGGACTCTACTGATATGGGGATTTGAAGATATAGACATGTAGAGATTTGGGGATGTAAGGATTTATATATGAAGATTTAAGAATTTAGAGATTTTTACTCTTAAGTGCATTAGAGCAATGCACAATCACGATGAAATTGCACAGAAAATATCTAATCTTAAACCTCAAGCAAACGCTCAATTGTTTCCTATAAAATATCGCTGCAATAACATGTATATCTTCAGTTGCATTTAATCGAGAAATCAAAGAAAGACGTAATATTAAAAAAGGTGGAATCAAACACAAGATCCCTGATACGGTGCGTGGTTGTTCCGCAGTGCTTTCAGGTATGTCAGCC